CCCCAAAACCCCAAAACCCCAAAACCCCAAGACTTAAAATAGTCGATAGAATATTGACAAATTTAAATTTTATTTACTTGTTTAAAATATAATTTAAAAGCATTTACCTTAAAATGAGTAGCAGTCTCAATTATTTTACACAGGGTTAAAAGAAAAGCACTAGAAATAAAGAAGATCCAGTTATACTCTTAACCAACTCGGATCGGAGAGTACCAGCAAGTCCATCTAGTAAAATGAGCAGCAATCCTTTAAGAATATATAAAACACAACTTCCACCTCAAAAGAAAGTATCAGTAAAGAGAAAGGAATCAAATGATTAATCACATAAAAGCTACATGAGCAATAATGATAGGCTTGTTACAGACAGTTCCAGTGGTTATAAGCCTAAAATAGTTGGAAATATTAACTCAATTTTAAAGACACCGCAAATGAAACAAGGACATCATCAAAAATAAAATCAATCGTTTGACTTTTCTAGCTTGCGGAAGAAGTAGCAAAAATCTGGATTAAACCAAAGTCACCTATATTCAAACAAAATAGACATTCTTGACACAAACCTGACTGAAAACAAAAATTTCAGCAGTTCTTATATTCATTAGAGTAACTAAACTGGGAACGATATAGATATTACACCTTTTAAAACATAGCCAAGTGTTTACTTGACCTAGGACAATACTACAAGCTAATTTACCTTTTAAAAATAAGATGACAAAGCCTATAGTACGGTGCAAGACATTCAAATCAAGAGAAGATTGAGAGTTGCAGAAGAGGATCTTGATAAAATATCAAGAGAATGCTATGAACTGCAATAAAAAGTGCTTAGAAGAGAAAAGATAATCTTGAACTTGCAAGTACAATATGATTAGTCAGCAAAGTCCTCTTAAATTAAATAACTAACTGAGATTAGACTGGAAAACGCAAAACTTGGTGAGAGATTCAGAGAACTATTAAAATCTAAAGAAGATATTAAGTTAAGAATGAGATCTGTGAGATCAGATACGATTAATTCAAATCTGCTGAAAGAAGAGCAACTAGCCTCAATAAACGAATAAGTAAGTAGCAAATGTTAAATAATATATTATATAGATAAGAGAATTAGAGAGGACCTACTTTAAGATGAATGAAGACATAAAATACACAGAGTCTCAAAATTGGAGAGTCATTGAGAAAAATAAAAGTTTATAAACTTAAATTGAGTTAGTGCTGCAAGAGAAGGACAGCTAAAATTAGATTATGGTTAGTTCTTAAATATACTCATATATATATATAGAGATAATATCACAGGAAAATAGAAAGACTAGAGATGGATATGATAAATTAAAAGTATGAGCATTAAGCATTCATTAAGGTTAATCATAAAAAGACCTAATATGAAATGAAATGTTCAGCAATGAGACAATTGACTTCAATACTTAAAATAAAAAATTTGAGATATATGAGTGAAGCTTTTTCTGAACTTACCAAGAAAGACAGGAAATTTGAAGTTATATCAAGAATGATAGCTAATTTTAGCAGGTTTGATAAAGTAACTAGAAAAGATAAATTGAGATTATACTTTGATCTTTGGAATAATTTAAATTTCAACACTGCTTTTAAAGGGCATTACTAATAAGTTAAAATGAGTAATGGTAAGCTGTAAAACAGGTAGTTGTAATATTTCATCCTGTGGAGGATGGCTTATTTAAAGAAAAAAGAGTAAGGTTAATTTCAATCTTCTAAAGTAAAAGATCTGCTGTTCTCTTTAAAAAGGCTAATCATTAATAAAAACCTAAATAATGCTTTCTAAATTTGGAAGTCTAAACTGTGCAGGAGATTTAAAGGTCTTAATAAGCTACTGCCTATAGTATATAAAAAAAGAAATCAAGACTTAAAGTTCGCATTGAGTAAATGGACTAATAAAAACACATGGATAAAGTAAAAGCTTCAAGGGTATCGGTTAATTTAGAAAAGATCAACTAAATAGCTTATGATAAGAGCTTTTTATGGTTTAAGAGAGTCTATCTTGATTTAGAGATAGGAAATATTTAGAAATAAGATTAATTTCTATAAAAAGTGGAGGTTTAGGTATCTTTAAGTAAAGTATATAAGAGATATGGAAAACTTTGGCTTGAATACTTGTCTTAAAGGCTATAATGAAAAACTTAAACAACTTTGTTTTAATGCTTTTAAAGCTAATTTAATTCTTAGGAAAAATCAAAGACTATAGGATTAATATCAAAGTAAGCATTAGGTTTAAATGATAGAGGTAGAATCCTAGATAGGTAAACTTTAAAACGAGTAATAGGAAAAGGCTTTAAGTATCTTAAAGAGATCTCTTCTTAGATGGAAAGGATAGAAAATAAGACCATATTTCTTATTCTGGCATTCTTTGGTTAAAGAGGAAAAGCGAGTAAATCATTGGGTCTTATATCGTAAACTTAAAAATTATAAGCTAAATCAAGCATTTGGTCAGTGGAAATTTAAAGCACAGCAAGCCAGAAATAACTAAAAGATTGAACTTGTAGAAGAGATTTAGGAAAGTGCAAAAGAAGAAGTCTAAAACATTGTAAAGCTAAAGGAAGAAATCTCAGAGTTAAAGGACTAAAGTATATCTAAGGGCAAAATGAAGCTAAGTAGAGTCATTAAGCATCAGATCATGATTCCTGTGTAATAATCTTTCGATAGATGGAGATTAAAAACTGAAAATAATAGAAGATAGACAACTAGACTTAGAGTAGTCTTTGCATAAATGCTAACTAGAAGACTTAGAATGGCTTTCTAGCTATATGCAAAACAAGCTAAAAAGACAACTAGATATATAAATCATGATAAGCTTATTAAATAATACCATGGGATTTACAATTTCAGACTCTTAAAGTACTTCTATAATGTACTACAGTATAATAAACAGCTTTTTTAAGAGTAAAAGTCTAGGATTTAAATATTATGTCACAAAAAGCATAGAAAGACTTAGAGATTAGTCATGAACTAAATATAAGCTGTGTTGAATATGAAGCAAGTAAATAAAGTTAATATGGAAGAGATGCAGGAAATTTAAAGCTACAATGAATCCTCTCATGAAGTGGCTGTTAAGTAAGCTTAACTACAAGAATAAAAGGTTTAAATCACTCAATGTGAGAAGTAAGTGGGTCGATTAGGGGCACTAAACTTAACTAAGTTCTGCAATAGAATAAAGAACTATTAATACCATAAAGCTTTCAAATAATGGTTTGATATTACTAAGGATGGGAAATCATAACTCAGATAACTACTGCATCTCTCGTAAATTATTGCTAGAAAAGACAAATCAACTTGCTTTACATACTGGAAGAACGTTATGCTTGATTATAAAATTTAACTAGCCAAGAATCGAGGTTAATATCTCCAAAAAACAATCAATTAGATCTACATGTAGATGCTTCAAGAGTAAAAGGAAAGTAAATTGAAGAAAGATTATTTGGTGGAGAGGCTTGATGCCTAGTAGATTGTTATAAAGAAGTTTACACATACTCATAATGGATTGATTAATATAATGTTCAGATAAAAGAACCAGATGAAAGAGACTAAATTGCATCATTATGTGCTCAGATAATGGAGGGAGAGAAATATATAAATGAAAAGAAGATTCAGTAGAATTTGCAATATGCTTTAGAATTATTAGTTGAAAATTGGGTTTTAGCAAATTACATAGAGATACAGTGATCTAGCCACTAATAGTAATACCAATCCAGTAATCAGGGAGTCAAAAATTAATTAAGCATTAAAGGTACTTAGAAGGGGATTCATTAGAAGCTCATTTAGCTAATGGAAGAGCAAAGTTATGCTGTACAGAATTAATACTAACTAGCAACTTTCGATTAATTTAAATATACTTGGTGAACAAAGAACGGACTCAAGAAGATAATACACAAATGCTATTGCCAAATTAATGAAATAAGATAAAAGCGAAAACAATCTCGTTGATATATTTGTCTAATGGAAAAACTTAATTTCATAATAAAAAATATTAAGAATAAAGCAAAAAGAGTTGAATGAGTCTCAGCAATACTTAAATATCTAAAATGCTTTGAAGTTGTGGAATTAAAGGACTAAAAAAACTTAAAAATATAGATCTAAGTGTTACTCAGTAGGAATCAGGAATGATAGATCTATTCTTAGGGCCTATTTTAATGGTTTAAAATATCATGTCAAAGAGTTGAAATCAAAATAAAGATCAATAGCTTGTATAATAAATGACATCTTGATAAAGAAAAAATAAATGGCCTTCTAGTATGTTAAGTCTTTTACTTAGGAAAAGCCTACAGTTATCCAGCAAAACTATCAGAGATTTGCATAATTGTTATCTAAACAAATCAAAAGCAAAATGAATTCCACCACTAAGTCATGTCTATCTGACATAAAGTTACATGCAAGACAATAAAAACTTAGAAATACTTAACTTAAAATGATCCTAAGAGTAAAGAGTCTCTAATTGTCTAAGGCTTTTCTCAGATGGAAATAATAAGCAAGTCTTGAGGACTTAGAAAATGAATAATTAAATGAGGGCCCAATTAGGCTAGAGACTTTTGATTTGAGAGTATAATTTATGGCATTAAAAGATTTGCTTAAAAATTAAGAGAAAATAGAAGATAGAGATATATGTGATGTTATCCAGTAAAAGCAAACTGAAGATGATTAGCTAATGCTCAAAGCTATTACTAGAATGAAATTGTACAATGAAAATAACTTCTACCTTCCAAAGTATTTTGATAGACTTAAGTCTCACTGGTAAAAAAAGATGCATTTAAAATTAAAACTAAAACCATTCCTCTAAAAATATCTATTTGATACAGGCTCAGCGTTCCAAATTTTTAAAGACAAGTATGAAGTAGATAAGAACTCTTTAGAAAATACTAAAGCAATAGAGCTTAGAAAAAAGTTCATTTAGCATTCTAATCAGTAGGAATAAATAATAAATCTGACAGACATAAGTGATGTTCTAAGCTATTAAAATGAAAGAACGAACGATTATTTGCTAGATTAGAAAGATAAGGCTTAAATGATTGTCCTTAGATATTTCAAGAAGAGAGATAATGTTATAGCATTGCAGTATCTTATTAAATGGTGGAGCATTTCCAAAGATCAATAAAAGTAGGAAGTAAAGAAAAGACTTGATCAAAGATAAAAAATTCTACATTAATTGCAGGATCAATTAAGTGTCATTCAGTAACAAAATCAACAATTGTCATCCAGGAATAAGGAACTGGGTGAATAAGCAATTGAAGGCATTCATTTAGGCTCATAATTTGAACAATTATCCCAGCAAAAAACTGATCTAAGTATTGAACTCGCAGATAAAATATTTTGGATTAAAAAACTACTAGAAGAAAACAAAAGTCTTAACATCAGGTATAGCTAGTAGAAACTCTACGGTTCCTTGCAAAAAAGTGAGAGCTTAAACAGTCTTAAAAGATCGAATGAAAAGTAAAGAGATTAATATGCTTCTATTGAATGAAGATAGTAATATAGTAGCAGGAGATCTATATTCATTGATATATATAAGAACTAAGGTATTATTGATTTTTAATCTTAATTTAATGATTCCTTTTCTAAATGAATGCATCATGGGGTTTTGGGGTTTTGGGGTTTTGGGG